AGGAGCTCGAACTGTAATTGAAATTGACTTTAAGTGGAGTTAAAATCAAAAGGAGACCTAGAGGAGGTGCCGGAAAGAGAAAAATCTTGACGGATAACACATTTGGCTAAACGGTAAGATTCGGCAGAATAGGCAGCACCGAAAAATTCAGTTCTCGCATGGGAGGTAGGCCGGCCGATCATTTTTCTTTCACTTTTTAATAATCATCAAGCACAAAATGCTACAGAGAGGATGAGGTGCACGTGAACCTAATTTTATTAAAGCCATTGTTGAAAACGGCGCTTAAATGGTGCTACCCCCTCAAACGGGGGGCTGCAGGCAATCCGCCCGCTCGGTGCGAATGGACGGCGTCATATGTGCAATCCGATTCAAGTCCCCGTGCGTTGCAAGCGGGTGCGAAGCTACCAACTGGACCAGAGTTCGGATATCTGTCCGCCTACACCTGGAGGTCGACGCATGGCTGCCTAGCGACAGCTAATAAGTCCGAAACGGTCATTAAAACCCGCTGCCTACGCGGTCAGTGCTCATCAATTGCAACTGATCGTAGCTATGAAACTACATCGGAAGGTTGGAAAGGGAAGCTCGAAGACTAAACTAAAGGTCCGCACAAAGTTCCAAAATTAGGCGACTGCAGAGTGCGCCATCACGTGCTATCAGATCCCTGTCTGGATATCTATCAATTGAACCTAGACAGAATCAAGGCTGGGGACGTGGAGTAAGCAAACACTGCAAATATGTGTCCTGTGATGGCAGGAAAAAAGCAAGATGGAGAGTGGGAACGGAGCTGGGGTAGACGGTGAAACGTGAATCGCGCTTTGAAGACATCTGCATGGGTGCGGGTTTCTCATGATCCACAATTGTTGCGCACCAACCAGGCGCCACGAGCACTACAAGTTCGTGAGAGATGCTGCGGTATATTGATGGTGCGGCAAGTTCTCGGAATTGAAGTCCAACTGGTTAAGAAGGTTGAATCTGCGTGGTGTTGTTTACCGGATCTGGTGCAATTGCGGACAAGGCAATTACGTCGGAGAAACAGAGAGATTACTCCGGACGCGCATGGCTGAACACGCAGTAGCGGTGAGAATGAAAGCCGCCATCTCTCAGACAGCAGCTCATTTCACGGAAACTGGTCCAATTTGGCGTTTGAAGATGACGAAATCTTCGCAAGAACTGACAACTGCGTGACCTCCGAACTGCTCGAATCATGGTTCTCCGGCCCGCAATCCATCAACAAGCACAAAGACTTCCGGGTACCATATTCAGTGCTGAGACATTCCCTGATCTGGGGAATCATTCACGTGGGGAGGGCGCGGGCGAGCAACAATCCCCCTGACAGCAGGCCAAATCGCCCAGTAATCATCACATCAACTTCCAATACGGATGATGAAATTGCGGCAATTAACGACTCGTACGTGGATTGACGAGCCATCATCGCCTTAATTACGACCAACAGCGGTGATCACAAGAGCCGCTAATTACAGCATGCATGTGGCCCAGCGGCAGCTACGTACTATAAATACTGCAGTCTTTGTGCCGCCGCTACGCTTCCTGCGACTGATGGGTTCGAGTGAGAATCGAAACGTCGGGCCAGCAAAATTCTTGTTCCAGTGATCACATCTTCCTCTGAAGTGCTACACTGTTACTTTCGCTGTAGTCGGTGCTGTTGCGACAAGGTCGGTGATCCCCAAGGAAGCGTTCATGTGTGTTGGTAGGAAGGAAACTGGGCGTCGACAATGTCATTCCTCAGTATACTGATCTCTCCTTCTCTCCACCTCTTCCAAGTCACCAGGGTATGGTTTCAGTTCTCACGGCAGCCCGTCATGTACACCTATTCGCTGGGACTAATGCGAGGTATTTCATGGAAACCTTGAAGATGTCACCGTGCTCTCAGTTTTGTCCCCCTGCCTGTGATAGCTGTGATGGGTCCCGAAACTGACAGTGTGACTTTTAAGTTAGACCACCATCATAGCCGCATGTTCTCACGACGCACGTCCGCATGCATTACTACGGCAGCACGCGCACATAATGAGTTTGAATCTCTCAGAGCGCCTTAAAAACATGGCTTCGAAGGTTGAAATCTGATTGGATAACCAGGTTGGCCTCTGTCATGAGAGTCAGACGTTAGTGGCTCCTTCTTTCTGGGAGCATTAGGGCACCTGTCCTGTATGCAAGCTCTAAACTCGCCCCCTGCACGTTTTAGAACGGCCACATCAGCAACCGCGCATCATCCTATTCCAAATAGGCAGCATCCGCGCAGGCCAGTTGCAGATGAGTGAAAGAATGGGGCCCCCACTATAATTGAACGAGCGTGGTTTACAATTAAAAAAAACCGCTCAACTATCCTGTCTTCCGGAGTTATAAACGGACAGAATATCTCAATAGACCCCTGGATTGTGGGTTAGATTGCAACGGTTCCTTCATACCGCACCTCTCTGTCTGAAACCTTAAAACCCGGGACGCGTACGGTACGCGAAGACGGATTAGCGACCTTCGTCAGCCACTGCGTATTGATGAACCATGGTGCTTACAAAAGCCGAATTGCAAAAGAATAAGGTCTGACCCAGCGTTTAGCACCAGGGAATCAGTGGGCCTTGTCAGATA